AAGAAAGAGAAGCCCTTAAGCGAGAATTATTAGCCCAAACCAGAGCAGAATGCGAAGCAACAAATAAAGCTCTACAAAAACAATTGAAAAAACAAGAAAAATGAAATCTCGAGTTGGTTCAAGAATTACAGCAAGCTAAAGAAGAGAACGATCTGGGCAAAATAGCCAAAATAATGTCCATGATGAAGGACAATGATAAAAACCAGCAAACTACTCGTTTGGCAATTAAAAAAATGATGGAAGAAAAAAACAAGCAAGAAAGAGCAATTAATGAGTATATTCAAAATGTTGATGAACCATGATATTTGAATATGAATTTCTCTTCGCCCACTTTTGGATCAGATTAATAGATGTTTAGACACAGAACCTCAAAAGCGACCAACTGCCGAAGTATTTATACAAACTTTCAAAACCCCCTAAACCAGGTAATAGTATTTATTTTTATTTTTAAAAATTGGAATGTTATTAATTGTAAAAATATTTGAATTAGCCAATATAATAAATGCAGGTAACAATATTTATTTTCTTACCTATTTCAATGTACAATATTAGTGATATGAACCGATGAAAATATCTTGGGCCGAGATGATTTTAAAAGATTTGGGCAGGTTGACTAGGCCACCCAATTGGATTTTAAATTGTAGTTTTAGTATATTTATATCACTGATAGTAAGTAATATACAGGATCTTTGCTAGGAAAATCACCCTTCGGGGGTTTTCCAATCGAGCTAATTCAGAAAAGCTTAGACTGTTCTTATTCAAATGTAAATCACCTTTTACTTTATTTATTTGATAGTTTATTAAATAGACTGCCAAATTAGTAAAGTAAAAAAGAGTTTTGCATATGAATAAGAACCGGCATTATAGTCTAAGCTTTTCTGAATTAGCCCGATCGGAAAATTCTGAAAAGTGATTTTCCTAGAAAAGATCTCATATTCGATTTATTTATGATCAAACAAATTTATTACTCATTTGTATATTGGTATTTAGAGTAAAGAAAGCTATTTATTATTGCTATACTATAATTATATGTAGTTATAATTTTAG